GTAAATCAGGCAACCATATGTGTGTATGTCTGTGGACTCTGTTGCATTGGTCTATTTGTCTTCACATGTACACAAATCACATTATTTTAATTATTATGCCTTTATACTTGGTCTTAGTGTGGTCTTATAGTTGGTCTGGCGTGAAAGTCCTTCAAATTTCTTCTTCTTGATGGCTTTGGCTGTTTTTAGATCTTCGATGTCCAAATATATTTTAAAATCAGTTTACCAATCTCGATTTATAAAAAAAAAAAAAAAAAGGCTGGATTGCAATTGGGATTATATTGAATCCTTAGATCATTTTGATAATAAATCTCTCTTTAATTTTCATAATATTGTCTTCTAATCCATAAATATGATGTATCTCTAATTCTGGGCAGAAGTCTTGTGATTCTTTTATTAGATTTTTCCCTAGGTATTTGATGTTTTCTGATTCTATAGTAAAAGGCATTTAAATTTTTTTCTTTATAATTTTTGATGCTGCTATGTAGAAATAACAACTCAATTTTGTAATATTGACCTTATATCCAGCAACCACACTAAATTCACTTATTAATTCTAACATTAAAATATACATACACACACACATGTGTAAAATAAGTAATTTTATGTAAACAATTTATATCTCTCTTATTTTTTAAGAGCTGAGAAATGTTTTCCCAAAGACCCCAAAGATAAGTTATACCTTATAAACTATAACTGGGAAATGTCCATTCACAAACCTGTCACTGGAGTGGTAATGATATTACTATGACACAGTCACACACATTGCCCTTTATATATTAGATACATTATGATTCTGACACCCACAATTTTTCTTTTTTAACCAAATATATAAACATTTAGAAAGTAATGCTTTGATTAGAGGGTTGAAATCAAGTGATAGATGATGATGGATTGTTAATTGTGGAATATTCCTCCATGTAAATGAGATGAAATTACAGTTCTTAAGTTATATAGTTTTTTAAACAATGACTAGAATATTTCATGTGAAAAACAGCTGTAGCTTGTTGAATTTTTTAAATGAATTGATTTCAAAAAGCATCCTTTTTGCTGTTTAAAAAGCATAAGATCATCATAGAAAATTTAATACATATACATATCAAACTTTTAATAATAGTTATCAATCACTGGAAGGATTGATTGTGATTTAAATTTTGTCTTGAACTTTCTGAATTATCTAAATGCTCTATGGCAGAGAGCAAGTTTGTCAAACTTGTCACCTTTAGCATTTTGCATTAGATAATCCATGTCATCAGAAGCTCTGCTGTGCATTGAAGGAATTGAGAGTATCCGTGGCCTCTGCATACTAGTTGCCAGTAGTACCTCTCCCTCTCTCCAGACATTTTCAAATTTCCCCCCAAGGGGCAAAATGCCCCTGGTTGAGAACAACTGCAGTACAGTAAATGAAATTCTAATATATGCATAGAGCTAGATATAAAAATAGATGTAAATATATATCAGTAAATCATGTATTTTTTGTATATCATAACCATTTTCCCAGGTATTAAAATTTTTTCAAAAACATCCTGTAAGTTCTGTGTGTTTATTCTGTGGACATACAATATCCTATTGGACAGTGATTGCTTCATATTATTTAAAATAAATGACACTATAATATTCACCTTTGAGCATGTAACATTGTGATTATATGACTATTTCTTTATAATTAATCCCCAGAAGAGAAATTATAGCTTCAAATGGACATGTTTAAGACTTTTTATATGTGTCATCATCAGGCAAGATGCTATGAATTTATAACCCCATCTAGTAGTATAGCTGTTTTTTTTACAACAGCTTAAATCCTAATTAAACATTAAAATTGTTTCAAAAGTGCAAATAGCTGTATTTTTTTTTTCTGAGTATAAGAGTTATATATGCTCATTGGAAATATTCAGAAGATAAAGTATGAGAAAATAAAACTCACCCTTCCAGATACTTTTTCTATGAGCACATACATACACATACACTAATTCTAAACAGAAGCCCTGGGAAAGAAAAAGGAGAGGGCACTGAAGACATACCAATGGGAGTTAAAGAAGGGTACTTAAGGGACTTCTTAGCATAAAATCTGAGATCTTAGAGAAGAGCAAATCAGTAAGTGGAAGATTTTATATATATATATATATATATATATATATATATATATATATGTCCCCATTATTTATTTATATATATATATCCCATATATGTAACATACATTATTTATATTACATTATATTTATTATATATAAATAGATATTATTATATATTATATATACATATCCTTTAAAGACAACAAGGATAGATGGGGACATTTTCATTATTAGTAAGTTAAGGATCATGACTAAGGCCCTGAAATTCCAGAAAGGAGGAAAGGAAAGATCTCAGAGGAGGAAAGGAAAGATCTCAGAGAGTAAACTGAAATGACTCCCAAGAAGAAACTAGATTCATGCAACTGGTGAAAGGTGACCTACAGAATTAAGAGAATGGCTATAAGTTGGGGTCCATACCCCTAAATGACTAGGACAAGTACAGAGCATATATTGGCCAACATGGTCAGAACAGGACCACCAGTTCCCGCTGTGTCTTCAATCTGCAGGCCTTCCCTTTTCAGTAAGTGACCACCACCAATTTCCCAGATAGTGTGGCCAAAATCTAGGAGTCATCACTGATTGCTGTCCTTCCCTCATGACCTCACTACCATTCAAGTTTTCCCAGCTGAAGCCTCAGACAAGGACACTGTAGAGCAGAAACAAGCCATTACTGCTAAACTCTTTCTGAATCCTAGCTTAATAAAATCCACAAACATAATAGAATGGATGTTGCTCCACAACGCTATAGAATGGTAGATGACCAGAACATTCTTCATTGAAGTCCACCCTGTACTTCATCACTATTTCATTTTCGATGTTCTGGTTTTTTTTTTTTCAATTCTCATTTTATCCTTCATAATCTTGTATTCTCTATTTCATTAAAAATTTCATTCCATCTTTTTATGGTACTTTAACATTTATAGTGCATATTTCATAGTCCATGTATTTCAGGCCATTGTATATTCTATTCCATTTTATAGTCCTACCTATTTCAGCTTCAATTTCCTTCTATTTAACATTTTATTTCTCACTATACTCTATTCCTTTTTTTCATATAACATCATTATTTTTCTTTTATTCCATATGCTATTAGATATTTCTATTTTGTATTCCACTCCATTTTCCCATTATATTCCATTCAATTTTCATCCTATTCAATTTCCCATTTCACTTCCACTGCAGTCTCCACTTCGTCCTGTTCTGCATTGTTTCAAATCCATTTTCCATTCCCTATTATTTAACATTCCAAGTACTATTCCATTCTTTCTGAGTTGTGTTTTAGTCCAGGTTCTCATCCATTCCATTAAATATTCCATTCTGCCAAAATTGCTATAATGGCAACTTTCAGGAGAACCAGTTAGCAATATTTTTATCAAAGAATCATAGATGTGCTGGCCTGTATCAGGAATTTTCTCTTTTAGGAATTTATCCACAATAAAGTCATATTTAAGGAGATGAATAATTTTTAGGAAAAACAATATGTCCAGCATTGATGTGTTACAGACAGCTTAAAGTTGGAAACAACATTAAATGTTGATCAATATAGCAATGTTTGAAGATATAAGCTTCCTCCATAAAAGGAACATTTTGTAGTTACACTTGCCTTGTGGAAACCTATTTATTGATATGTAAATTGTTTTCTAGACCCAAAGGGCAGGTTAAAAAAATAATATGTATGCATAAATAATTCCATTTTATGAAATAAAAGAACTATGAACTATTTAAGAATGGTCATTTTCCTAAAAATATTTCCAATATTTAGGTTCTAGTTTTCCTAGTTTAGGTTCTATTTGCTTTTCTGTTTGGGGTTCGGAGAATGCAATAATAATGGCTTTTGTAATAATGAATAAAAATTAGTCTCCAAGGGCACCTGGGTGGCTTGGTTGGTTAAGCATCTGATTCGTGATTTCAGCTCAGGTCATGATCCCACCATTCCTGGCACTGAGCCTCACCTCAGTCTCTGCACTGCGAGCATGGAGCCTGCTTGGGTTCTCTCTCTCTCTCTCTCTCTCTCTCTCTCTCAAAATAAATAAACTTTAAAAAGTAAGTAAAAATTACTGTCTAAATATTAAACTTTAAGTCTGTGCATTGCTGCATAATAGAGAACTGTAGCCAAGAAAGTAGACTGGGTCAAATAAATTAATAAATTAATGTACATTCATCAGTGGATTACTATGCAGCCCCAAAAAATGATGTATATTTAAGGACAGTTTTATCCTTAATCCTGGGCAACTCCAGCCCATGCCTCAGGAGATAAGGCAGGGGGAAGCATGTTACTTCAAAATACCCCTCTGGCATGGCAGAAGTGCTGAACATCCTGAGCTAAGACACCATGAGCCCCTTCCTTTTTCTTGATTTCACGCTGCTTTCAAGATTCTAGTGAAGGGTCATTCAGTTGCCAGGAGCAGTTCCAGGACTGTTGCCTCTGGAGTCACACATGGGCCCAGTGTCCTCACAGAGTCCAGGAGGATGCCTGGCTTCTGTTGACCAGTGCGGTGTTTCTTTCAAGCCATTGTTTTAAAGTTTCACCATCAGAGTGGTCCTGACAACCTACACCGATTTGGGGGTGAATCCAAGTGTTTATACAGAGAACATCGCCATCTGAGTACCCTCATTTGAAATGCACACCCACACATACATATACACACGCACGCGCCTGCGCGTAGGGGCCCAGGTATGTATGGGTAATTCACATCAGGTCCCGGCAGCAACGGACCCCAGAACGGTGGAGCACGCTGTTAGGTTTGGCGCCAGATGGAGCCTGGTTGGCCCACTCCCCTAAGACGAGAGCCACGTGACAACAACCGACCAATCAGAAGCAGAGCTCCTACCCGGGCCCGCCTACCGTCCTCACTCCTTCAGCTGGCGCTGTAGCTAGATGGTGTCTTAGGACAACGATCTTGTGTCTCTGAGAGAGAATCTGGCATGATGGTCACCCCATCGTCCAAGGAGAAGGCACAGAAGCAACAGCAGGGTGAGATGACCCCTGCCCCTGGTGATGCCCGCGGGACCGGCAACCCCAGTCCCGGTGCCTCGGCCCCCTCAGTCTCCAGTGACCTGTCTCCATTGGGTGGTGGCGCCCCACACGGTGTTCCTGGCTGCCTTGGGCGCCATTTTGAGCACCGGAGCGGATCTGGAGCTGCCCCCCGCGAGCCATGAGGGAGCATGCCGACCTCTAGGGCAGCCGCGGTCCCCACGCAGAGCTGAGGCGTGTGGTGCCCCAAACGGGCCAGGGTCCTCGGGCCAGGGTCTCCAGACCTCATATGCGTGTGGCGTGGCCACCATGGGGCGAGCCACGTGGGGCTCTGGCCAGGCCGGCGGGCCCCGACCCAGACCGCGAACCCAGTGAACTGCTGTGGGAGGGAGCAGCCCGGCTGGGATGAGGCTGCCCAGGCTCAGAAGCCTCCGCGGCGCCGCTGTTTCCTGGGCTTCCCAAGCCTTAGTGCCCAGTATCCTTGTCTCCATTTTCTCCAGGGTCTCAGCCTAGCGGTCGCCGCCGTTCTCGGGTTTCTTCGTCGGGTCACGAATCCCGGCCGGGTCCTGCCCTCCGGAGTCAGGCCAAAGCAGCAGGTCCAGCTCTCCGCAGTCAAGCAGCCAGGCCTGGCCCTGCAGTCTTCAATGGTGATGCCCCACCGCCAGGCCCCGCCTTCCGCAACCATGCTTCTGGGTTGGGCGCTGCTTTTTGCAGTCTTTCATCTGCCCCAGGCCCTGCCCTGCGAGGTGGTGCTTCTGTGCCAGGCCGCGCTCTCCCGCGTCGTCATTCATCCACGTCAGGTCCTGCTTTCTGCCGCCGTGCATCTGAGCCAGGCCCGGTTGCCCCAGGGCGCCGTGCATCTCATTCATCCACGCCAGGTCCTGCTTTCCGCCGCCGTGCATCAGAGCCAGGCCCTGCTGCCCCAAGGCACCGCGCGCCCGCGACCGGGCCGGCTCCCCGCCGCCGCGCGTCCGCGACCGGGCCGGCTCCCCGCCGCCGCGCGTCCGCGCAGGTTCCTGCTCACAGCCGCCGTGTCTCCGCGCGGGGCCCTGCCCCAACCCCTGCTTCCCGTGGCCGTGCATCTAGGCCAGGCCCTGCTCTCCGCAGCCCTGCATCCGGGTCAGGCCCTGCCCTCCGAAGCAGAGCCAACCCGCTAGGCCCTGCCCTCCACAATGGCTGTGCACCTCCAGGCTACGTCCTCCGGAGCCACTCCACCCAGACTTCATACCCTAGAAGCCGTCCCTCTCTGCCTGTGCCTTCCGGCCTGAGTCCTTCTCCTGGGTTGGCCTCACAAGAATTTGTGAGCAACTCAAGCTCTCCTAATCCTGAGGTTCCAAGCCTTGATACCCAGCCCCGTTGGCATGCAGTCCGTATGCGGGCCTCCTCTCCCTCACCTCCTGGTAGGCTCTTCCCTTTCTCTGGGCAGAGTGATGAGGGCTCCTCCTCTTCCTCCTTCCCCTCCTCCGGGTCTCCTGGCCAGAGCTGCTGCTCCACCTCCACCTTCTCCAACTCCCTCTTCTCCTTCTCTTCCCCTTCTTCCTCCTCCTCTTCTTCCTCCTCCTCCTCCAATGATTTTTCTGACCAGTGTCCCTCTTCCCCAAAGTTTTGTGGCTTGGGCTCCATCTCCACTCCTAGTCCTGCAAGCCTCAGGCGTGCCTTACTGCCAGAGTTTGAAACCCTGAGCCCTCTCTCTTCAGGACAGCAGGTTGAAATAGGGAGCGTGCCTTCTCCCACTACACCCCCTGGGGTGTGAGCTACCATGAGTATATTCCTAAAACGACAAAAGGAATTAGCATGCACCCACTGACCTGAAGGGAGTGCCTGCTCTGCAGTTTCCTTTGAGGTTTATGAGTGTTCTAGCTATTAACCAACATTATGAGAAATTTTGTTGCTGTTTGCTGAGTAGTTTTGAAGCCTCTCCTTCCCATAACTGCACTACCTAGCATTTATCTGCTTTTGGCCCTTGATTTCAGGCCTGCTTTTTCCTCATAAAGGCCTGCCTTTGCCCCTGAGTTGAGATTGCCCTTTTCCAAGTTCCCTTTATAGAATGACGTTTTTGAATGAATACAATAAAAATGTTTGACTTCATTTTTAAGATGTGTTTTTTTGTCCAAATAACTGTTATTCCTTGTGGATTTAGAGGATTAAAGAAATTTGTTAGCATGCTAGCAAAACTCTTTGGAAGTGAGAGGGAATAAAATACTATCCTAGCAATTATTTATTCCTACTATCTAAAATGGAATTTTATCCAGGAAATTCCCATTTATATGCTATATACCCACTTAGCATAGGTGATTTGCAAACTTGGACAAGAAAAGGGAGTAGGATTCAACCCAAGGAGGGGTGATGGCGATATCCAAGGTCAGGAAGGAGACAGGATGTGATTATGTGGTTGTGTGTGTATGTGTGTGTGTGTACGTGTGTGTGTGTGTGTTGGGGGAAATATTCCTCCAAAGATGGGAGTAGGGAGTGTTGGAAGGAAGCCTCAGGAAGGAGGAGAAAAGCAGGAGTCTGGAGCACCAAGGAGGGAAGGTCTCAGTTTCTAGAAGAAGAAAGAATTTGTGTGGTGGGAAAGGGGGCTCCTGAGGTCTGTGTGGGGAAGGGGAAGGTCTCAGAGGGTGATTCAAAGTTAATGATGTGAAACTGGTTAAAAAGTGTGTTAATGGATAATCTCATTTAAAAAATGTGAGTAAATTTGTGAGCAGGTATAAGAGGGTGTGTGTATGTTTTTGTGTAGACATATTTGGAAATAACTGGATGGACATGCACCACCATTCTGTGAACAGGGTATATACAGTTTTTGGAATAACTGATATGATCTTTTATGTGCTATGTTTCATACCTCTATCATATTGCTAGTTCTATAGCGAAACTCAGTTGTTTTTCAAGAAGTTAAGTTGTGGAATCAATGGGAGAACACATTAAAGGAATGAAGTGAAAAAAAAAAAAATAAAACCAGCAAATGAACTCCATCTCCCTACTTTACCATATTTCTCCTCTCTTTGCTTTTCTTCTATATGGCCAATGGTATAGACCTGGCCAAGAAGGGCTGTCTTCCTGGGACCCACATTTTAGAGGTTCTTACCTAGGCCCTTTTCATGCTGTATTCAGACCATAGAGCTAGGAGTCCACAGAGATGATGGGATGTGCCCATCAGGTCCCAACACCCTGCAATTATTGTAGAAAATGCTTTAGGTTCCCTCATTCCCCAAGGCTGCTTCAGATTCTGTAGGGCCCTAAGGGAGTGAGGTCTGAGTCTGTGATATACATACTCTTAGGCCCAAAAGGTTACCAAGAGGCCACTGTTTGTAAAAATAAAAGGGTATACAAAGCTTGATGGTGTAGGCTGAGGTATTCTCAAGGTTAATTGTAAGATACCTCTTGGTGTAGGACATAGCTGGCAATGGGAAGAGATCAAGGACATGGGCCAAAGACCTTAATTTGTACTTTTGCCCCAGACACACTACAAATGTTAGTGACTGGCCTGTGTGTATAATTACCTCTCTAGCCCAGCCCCAGAGATTTAGAGACATTCAGGGATATATATCTAGGAACCCACACCTTGTCCCTGGAGGTGGCTCTGACTACAAAACACCCCCTATTTATCTAAGATGTTGGGGGAAACATTAGTTCAGGTCCTAGGTCTGGTTCCTTCCTACAGTGAGTCAGCATTCAGTGAGCTGAATCAGAGGTGCCACTACCCTACTGCATACTAGTGTTTTGGTGGATCTCCTGGGCATTTGATCTGCTTGGGAGTGGACCTTAATCCAGTGTCCTTAGTTTAAGCCCACCACACTAAAATGTATATAGCTCCTATTGACCACAGGCTCTTCATCCTTCTCTTGACCTTTGGTCTTTCTAACACTCCCTCTTTCTGAAAGTACCAAATGCCATCACAGAGTAGACCTCTGTGTTACAGAATATAAAGGATGATTCTTTTTTTAATGTTAGTGTTTTTTTAAGTTTGTTTATTTTGAGAGAGAGAGGAAGAGAGAGAATCCCAAGAAGACTCCTCACTCTCAACGCGGAGCCCAACATGGGGCTTGAACTCACAAACCACAAGATCATGACCTGAACCAAAATCAAGAGTCAGACGCTTAACCGACTGAGCCACCAGGTGCCCCTGTGAAGGATAATTCTTAAGATTTCATATTACTTGACCTTTTGGCAGCAATTTGACACCTTTGATCACTTCCTTGATACATGTTCTTCCTTAGTCTTTAAAGACTGTTCTCTTTGTGTTCACCCACATTCTCCTATATTTTTCTCATTTTCCACACCTCTAAGTATTAGAATGCCCAGGGCCTCAGTTTTTTGCCTTTTCCCCTGTATACATCTACTTCCTAGGGGATCCCATCTAGTCTCATTCTTTAAATATTGTTTTAAGCTGGTGAATCAAAATATTGTATATCTATTCCCACCCATTCCCTTGTACTCCAGTCATGTATATACAGCTACCTAATCGACTTTTCCATTTCAGATGGCTAAAAGGCATATCAAACTTCAGTAATATGGAGTTATGTCCAGTAGAAATAGAATGCTAGCCACACATGTAACTTACCATTTTCTACTAGCTAAATTAAAAAATGTATAAAGAAATACATGACCTTAACTTTAATAATTTATTTAATTCTATCTATCCAATATCTATCTATCTATCTATCTATCTATCTATTTTTTTCTAAAAAATCTCAATAATTTAAACATGTAAATATTGAGATTTTTTTTTACTTAATCTTCAAAGGCTGATATGTAATTTACACTTACAGTATATCTATGTTCAGACCAGCCACATTCCAAGTGCTCAAAATAGCAACAAGTGTGGACATCTGTGTACAGCACAGTCTAATTTCCTTAGCCTCTCTTGTTCATTTCCTGTTGAATGATAATTCCACCTCCAGCAATTTCTCATAATTGTGGCATCCTATCAAGAGAGCCCTGAGGTGTCAGTTTTGAGGGTTCACAAAGGCTATGATGCTTCTAGCACCTTTAGTGCCTCTTGAGCTGGGCCCCTTGCACTTGCTTGATATAAAAAGGGCAAAAACCCTGTGAGTTTCTGCTGTTCTTTCTGGTGAGTTGGCTAGTTTGTGGTTCTATTATCAAGTTATTTAGAGGCTGTGCCATCACTTTTTTTTCCTCCTGCACAGACACTGGTACCATGTAGGTAATATGACTGGTGGTGATTTGTCCTCATCTACTTGAAGTTTGGGGTTTTTAAGGGATGTCTTGTAACCTAGATTTTTTGAAAATATTATCTGTTCATTTTGCTTTTCTCTCCAGTTGCTCTGTTTTTATGTGTTTGGAGAGATTGAAAAACTACATAGCCACCGCTGCCACCATCTTCCCAGAACCTCTACCACCAAGTGTCCTTACTCCTTGAAAAGTATGTCACCTCCTCCTTAGGTGTTGCTGCAATGTCTGCTGATAACAATGTGTATAGTCAACCCTTTGGTGGCTCTCAAAGGAACACAATGGGAATCATCATCTGTACTAAACTGGAGTAAAAGGAAAAAAAGTTTTAAATTTAGGAATCAGAACAAAAACCTATTGGGCATGCCACTAAAAATCTTTAGAACTAAAGGAAACATTTTTTGGGAATACATTTCAAAAGCTTTAACTTTGTCATCATACTTTGTTGACTCACAAGACAGAACGAGGAAGACCACTCCAGATTGGTAAGTGGCAGTCTTAATAAGCAAGGGAACTTACTTATGAGGCTGGTCTTGGGCAGCTGCAAGATGAGTATATCTCCTCAGCTGCCCACAGGAATCTTAGTAGTTTATATAGAAGCCTGAACTGGGTTCAGTCACATATACTGGCCAGTTGGTCTCAACAACACATTGCTCTCTAAGGCTGCATTCTTTTTTAAAAAAAATGTTTATCTTTTTGAGAGAGAGAGAGAGAGAAAGAGAGAGCAGGGGAGGGACAGAGAGAGAGGGAGACCCAGAATCCGAAGTGGGCTTCAGGCTCTAAGTTGTCAGCACAGAGCCTGACAAGGGGCTTGAACTTTTGAACCGCAAGATCAGGACGTGAGACGAAGTCCGAAGCTTAACCAACTGAGCCACCCAGACATCCTTCTAAGACTGCAGTCTTGGAAATGCCTCCAGCTATGGGAATGGTAGGCAAAACATATTTTCCAAGGACGGGGTGGGGGTGAAGAGCCTCTGATTTACCAGGACCAGCTCATCTGTCAGCTAGTGGTCTCTTGATTACCCCATCCAACACACTTATTCCCGAAAAATTCTACAGATGACCAAATACTGGAACAAGAAGTAGACAATTTTACTACAACAATTCTCATAATCTCCTGATATCAGAGAGACTACACTTGTTACCATTTAATTTTTTTTATGTTTATTTATTTTTGAGAGAGAAAGAGAGAGAGCACGAGCACGAGCACGAGCGGGGGAGGGGCAGAGAGCGAGGGAGACAGAATCTGAAGCAGGGTTCAGGCTCTGAGCTGCCAGCACAGAGCCCGACGCCGGGCGTGAACCCACAAGCCGGGAGATCATGACCTGAGCCAAAGTCGGATGCTCAACCAACTGAGCCACCCAGGTGCCCCCATTTATTCCCATTTTAAAGATGTGGAAATTAATGCTCAGAGAAATTTTTGTGACTCTTGAGATCTCATTGCTAGTAGGGTTGGGTCTGGGGTCAGAATTCTTAGATTTTAATTCTGGTTTTCCTATTAACTCACTGTTGTTCCTGGACAAGTTAGTTAACCTGGGATCCTAAATTTCCTCATTTGTCAGTTAGGAACAATAAAAATGCATCCCCCCTAGATTGTTGTAAGGATTAAAATGGGTGGTGTGTGTTAAGTGTTTCTAACAGTGTCTGGCACATTGTGAGTGACTGGTAAAGATCTTATTCTGATTAGGATTATGATAATGTACCCAGATACTTCTGACTCCAACAGCTTTAACACCTTACTGATGTTTCCCAATCAATAATACTTTATTTTTTATTTAAAATTTTTTTGTATTTAAAAAAGTTTTTTAATGTTTAGTTGTTTTTGAGAGAGAGAGAGAGAAAGAGAGACAGAGTACAAGCAGGGGAGGGGCAGAGAGAGAGGGAGACACAGAATCTGA